CGACTCGACGTTCGGTGAAAACCGAGTCCGATACTGTAACGACGAGCGGGAGAAACGGTGAGATTTTTCTCTCGCTTTCCATGCGAGCACGTTGAACACTCCACGCTGTGTACACGTAGAATCGGGCAGAAATAACAGACGCTTTGAATGGAGGAGCACGGTATGGGTAATGCGCATTCTTCACGATCTGTGGAGCCGCGGCTCCGGTCTTGCGTGAATTCAACGGCGCGCACAATAAAATCACTCGTAAAGACGGATAAACGTTTTGCAAGCTGTTCGTGATACGAAGCCGGATAATACGCGTTTCGGATTCCCACAGATTCGCAATTAATTACGTTTCCTCGAGCGTGAGTAATCTGGTTCATCCCAGAATACGAATTCAATAAAAACAAACTTCTGTTAATAGTCACCGAACGGAGCAAATTGAGGAGTGACGCGTCACTTTTTAAATGAGAGCCAAAAACTGTTTTTGTTTTGTATTAATTAATACGATCTTCTTTTTATAATAGCACACTCACATTACGAATCTATAAACGATTATAAACTTTTCTCATGCAAAGTTAATGAAACTTTTTTATAATTACAGGTCAGCTAAATGATGTTTTCTCTTAAATCTTGTAGATGCCACACCTATGGGGTGAATTGTTAGATGCACTATTAAGTCCCTTTCTTATATTTTCTCTCCGACAGTTCTCCACACAACTATTTCGATTGTAAGTGAATGTTCGTGTACGAGTGTATATTTTCGACTGAATGTCGAGTTTCGTGTGACGTCGCGGTTCTTCAAAGTTCGCTGAGGGCGTTACCAAAATTCGCCTCCTTATTGGTTATGCCCTGAAGGGGAAGGTAAATTCCTCGGTTTTTCCAAGTGACGTGGAGGTGGAAAACCTCTCCTTCAGGGCGAAGCGAACGCCAAAAAAAAATCGCGCACGTGGTCACGGTGCTAGTTGACTGCGACGAATTGTCGAGTCTCCCAACGGTAGGGTTTATGGTATTGTCTGCAAGTCAACGCGCCCCGGTAAGGCCAAATGTTCGAGTCTTTTGTGTATTATTCCCTTTGTGAATAAAGTTAAATTTCAAGGGCTGGTCGCGAAAATGTATAAACTGCCCGGACGAAGGAAATAAAATAATCAAAAATAACGGTACCGCCTGACTCTATAGCCGTCGTTTCAGTCTACGACGGAACAAAGAACACATCCGTTCTTGACCATTGTCTAGAGGAGTCTCTCTGTTAATTTGTTCAAAACAAACTCTTCTTGGTAACCCTTTCGATTCAACCATCTTCAGATAAATCGATTATAAGAGTGGTATCACAGAAATACAAGGCGACTTTTCATTACATCGCAAAAACATTGAAGTGTGGTGTTCTCCATTTGTGAAACTTTTCTTCTAATTTTTTTTTTCTTCCAATTTTTTTGATTTCCATTTTGTGAAACTTTTCTTCTAATTCTTTTCAAATTATATCTAGATCCAGAACATTTAGAAAACTCAGGTTTATAGAGACGTGGATATTCGGCGTCGTTTTTACGGGATTACAGAACGGTCCCATAACACGGCCCCCGGTGCTCTATAGAGCTTTACTTATCATAAATCCGACGCCAAGGCGAGTAAATGTTTTCTGAGACCACACGACACCCCGCGAGAGTGTTCCACGGATTCCTATTGCTTGAACGCAGCACTGTGTATCATATAGAAACTATTCCCCCTTTCGCATCGTTGATTCGACAGACAGTTCGATGCTTTGTTCCACGAAATTAAAACGTGTACGAAGCTCCGATACAGTCCAGGGAATCGCGGAGAAAGTAATATCAAACCGTAGTAACGTTCTCCGCAGTTTATCATCGGTTTCGGTCAAAGCAACAAGCACTCCGAGTTGGAGCCACCCGGAGAACACGAAACTATACAAATCCCAACAAACTGTTGACCAAAATACCTTTCGAGCCTGGTGAAAGGATCAGGCGCCGGGTTTTAAAAAATGCCCCCGAAGCACGATTTCGGAAAACCAACGTTATACGCGATGGAACACCAACAGAACTTTCCGTCGAATCAGTATCGATACGATCGAAAATATCGAGCATCCTCTTTCCGCTGCCAGCGTAATCCGTCGAGGCGAGTGGTCGTTCGGAATGTATTTGCCCACGGTCTTACGAAAACAGACGAACGTCTGTTGGGAATGTGCTCGGCCATATAAGCATAACAATAAACCTTTCACGGCTTACGGTAGCAGAAAGAGGTATTTCGAACCCCTGAACTAGAGCCACTCGCTTCTTGCTCGAGCATCCTCTTCGCGCCAATCGACGATTCGCGAGTTCCCTGCGGAAAATGTAAACGTCTACCAATCGCAGCGCGTAACCAACATTACCGCAGGAAATCGGCGGCAGACTAGCGCTCTGATTGGTCGGGGTTTTTCGTTAATATCTCGTTAACAAAGCCTCCGATAAGATTTTTACTAAGGAAAAACTTGTTTCAAATCACCTAACGAGTCTTCCATTTACAGGTCCTCCAACATTTTTCTTACACCTTGTACAATTGCGCTTCATTCCTCCGTAATTAGTACATGCACTTTATCTCCTTATTAAATTTAGGTAACTAGTTTAGTTTGGTTATTTTTAATATCCCCGTCAAAGTTAATTCGGCGCGTGAGGTCGCGAAATGCAGAAGAAAGTCGGCTAAAGATTCACGACGTAACTATGAGAGCTCCATCTATATTGTCAATCGTACCGGCACACCGCGAAATCGCGCTCATTATGCGCCATTGTTCTTATCATTACCGGCCGACGGTGTTACGGTGTCCAACGAGAATAACAGTTTGACCGAAGCCGTCGATGGAACCACAACTGGTCCGTGATACCGTGCTCGTTGTCCCTTCGCCATTCACAGTCACCGATTTAGAATAATCTGAACGCGATTTCGACGCGGTCGGTTCGACGTCTCGTTTGCGTTTCCCGGTCCCGTGGTAATACGCGTTAGAACCCGGCCACGGACGAACCACCGTAATCGACTACGAAAAATAGCCGAAGCGTTTTAGCTTCCCCCCCCTGTTATTCCGGCCGGAATACCATGGTTCAGTCTTTCCAGCCATGCAGCTATTTCAGTTATTTTTATTCCCGTTCATAAAAGTTCCGGGGGCCCCAGCCCATCCTGGAGCGAGAGGATTTCAGAATTAAGCCCTCGGCGAAATATGCCCCCTCCCTGCATTCTGACTTAACTATGTCCTGTTTCCAACGTGCGTCATTAAAGTGTGAGATTTTATTTTTTTAAATGTGGGACACCTTTACATAGGGCGGATTCTGTGTGTAAAAGTGAGATGAAAATTATGAATGACGAAATTGCGATCGGGGGTTCGTTTTCGTGATATTAATTGTTGAATATACGGGTGAAATACGTCTGAAGCGTCCATCTACAGTAAATCTTCGATGAGTGTTTGAAGGCTCCTCAACACTAAAGGTTAAATATTTGATAAACTAACGGCCATACGGGGCTGAAACAAATATTTTTGGCTTCAGAATTCCAAGGTCTATCACTTTGCTAAACCTCATTAAAACATCAGTTACACCTGAGGACCTCTCCTTGTCGGTACCGAGGAGCCTTCGAACAGTCATCGATATATTATACTGCTGTACTTCAGAGAGGCGCTCTTTAACTGTTTCAGGAGTTGACTTCATTTATTTAATTTTATTTCATATAGGTACATTAAATTTAACTAGGTCACTGATCGAACCCGTATGTCATCTGAGAATTGGGTCTTCCAGTAGTATAATTCATCGCGTCAGGCGTTTTTCACGCATATTTTCACCAATTAACCATCACTTATCACACAGGCTATGACATATTTTGTACTCACTTTTCTCCCCCTAGAGTCACCCCTCTCACCTTTCTATGGTTCTAAAATACAAGACGTTATAAAGTGGAATGCTATACCCAGAATGATTGAATGAGGGTCAACACGTCGACTGCAACAGTGAAAAAGGCCGTACGTAGCCAGACATACTTTATTTCGTCTTTCAAGTCATAAATCATCGAAAATATATACGTTTAGTTAATGTTACGCAAGCATATTGTAACGGTATTTAATTAATCCACTCCTCTTTGCGATGTTCGTGTCAGCCATATTTGAGTGACCTAGCCAGTCAAAGCGTTAATAACCCGAAAACGAGGCCTCGAATTCAATTTCGTCAGAATTCAAAATGTAGAATTGGCCCTCTGTAAATGTCCCACATGTTTTATTAACACTCCATGTAGTAGAAATCTCGTGCCCGACTTTTGTTCTATACTCACACGACGCGCTGAGAAACGCAAGGGGAGTATGCATGACGGGAGTCTGTAAATTTTCGCGGGGTATTTAATGGTACGGCTTTGCCAGCCGGCAAATGCGAAGGAACGAGGTGTACACAAAGGGTGAGAAGAGAATGAGATTCGGCTTGGTGCGTTATGCGCAACATCCTATATCGTGTTACGGTAACCGTTCCCGATGAATGTGTACCTTGGTTGGCATTGTCAACACGGGCCCCGCTATCTACCCGCTATGAAAGCTATGCACACCCGAGGCTAATGATCAAGGGAGCTACGAGACGGACAGTTTCTTTCGTGGTGCTGTCATGGAACAAATTGTACGGTACTTCGATAATTAATAATGAATAATTTTGCGGACAATCTACAGGATAGTCGACTAAATAATTGACACAATATGATAGAGCACTAGTACCGTAGAAATTTATTCATCCGAACTTCATATGTGAATACCTGGAAATGTGCGAGGTTTTAAAGCATGAAGACTTGTGTTATCTGAACCATTTTATTCACTAAGGCCCCTTTCTGCTTTAGCGGCCGGAAAAAAAAGGTGACATTTAGGATTCTTTTTTTAGGATTTCGGTTAAACCAAGATCGATTGTACCACAATAATTCCCAGAGATAGGAATAATTTGTTTTTCATATGGAAACAATTTTGGAAACGATTAAGCACACAACCAAAGCATTTTCTACTCTGTTTTACATTGCAGACAAAGAAGTCACGGCTGATCGACTCCCAGCATATCGTCATAATCCTCATCGTGTTCTGTCTGATTCTCTTCGGGCTGAGTTTCGCCTTCGTTTTCAATTGCGTGAGGAAGCTAATCCGGGATCATCGAATCATTCGGGTAAGTGGATCTTTTCTCCCCAACAGTTGTTCCCGTTCGTATAACCGTGTCAACATACCGGAAAATTGATTCGACACGAGATTAAAAGTTCCTCTATAAAAACCTGCCGATTCTAATACTGTCTACATACATCTGCCGATATTCGCAGTATTTACGATCGAGGGATATTTCAGTGAATCGAAAACTTTGCAGACTCCGAGCTTCGTTACGTTGCTTTGATCATACGACCACTTTATGGCCGATTGTTACAGCATCGATCTCGATAGAAGTATTTATTCGTGTATATCGTTTCCCCTGGTCGAAATCTGGCTATTCAGGACGGCGTTACATGTCGTTAGGAATTAATTGGTTTAAAGAGCATCGTTAACCCTATAGTTCGATGATGTGAAATTATTAGACATACATCGAGACTTCCTTGCTTTTCATTGTTTTAAAAACTATTGAAATTTTTCGCATGTGCAAATAGATTCAACGAAACCTTTCAACACAATGTAATTCGAGGATTAAAATGATTGCATACCAGAAACACCGGGTGAAAAATCAGTGTAACGAGCTACGAGAATTCTATATAATACTGTTAAAAAAACTGCACATCGAAAAATCACAGAAACCCGGTGCTTTTTCCCGCGTTACGCACGGTCACGCGGCCCTGGAATTTCAATTACGGGTCGAACGTATGAGATTCCGATTCAATTCACGGCACGAACTTGTCACGTACAGGTGTACGTGCCTAACATTTACGCAACGCTGGGGGCAGGGGGGAGGGGGAACGAAAAAACTGATAACACACAATACGGAATGGGCCGACAGTTCGTTTCACCCATTCACATCGGACAAAACGGGGAAAATTGAAGTCGGAAGAGTCACGAGCGACCGTCATAGAAGATCTAATAGACACTAACAAGAGAATAAGGATTAATTTAACGGGAACGATCGGATCGATAAAAGTTGTGATTGCAATTTTCCACTGTATAGTTAAACAAGCAAATTTTCTTTTCTTCCCGTGTATTTATTATATATTCCTTTCGGTTTGCTCGACATGACATATACAATTCACCCTGTAATCAACGTGCTATTTCAATCAAGTCAAGGTTACATTGAAATTTCTGAACATAGACTTGAAACGCTAGACCTTCAATATTTATCCGCCCCATTAAAAGAATCCGTTTATCTTCCTCAGGAGCACATCAGACAGTCCAGGGAGAATCGATTAGACGAGCTAGGTCGTAAGGCGACACCCTGTCCAATCTCGTCTTCCAGAACGGACATCAGGGACCGCAGCAGCGAGTCGCCAAGCTTGGAAGTGGTCCCGAGCAAGGAGCTTCTATCGCCCACCACTCTAATCGCCCAGGATTACACGAAAGAGCTGGAACTGGATATGACCTACGGCACGCGAGACATGAACGACATCCACCAGAGCAACAACGTCAGCAACGCGACGCAGGAACGGCTCCAGGAATCAAACGACGAGCCGGAGATGCGCGACAGCTCTTGTCAAACGCGAGAAAGCCTTTTCGAGGGGCCAGTTGGTTTCACGACGTTCGGCGTCCGTGGGCCAAGCTCGCAGAACGGGACCAACCATCTTCACCACCACCGCCACCATCATCTGCACCACCATCAAAGTCCTCCACAGTCGCGTCAGGGTTCTCAGCAACCTTCTCAGAACAGCATGCAACAGTCGTCCGAGCACAGTTCACAGCAACCAGCGTCTCAGTGCTCGGGTTGTAGTCCAGCATCCAGAGGTCGAGACGGTAGCATGGGCGTCTGCCCGAAGCATAATCCCATCCCAGCCCCGCCCGGCTGGTCGAACCACGAGTCTAGCTATCCACCGAGCCATCATCAAGGCTCCCCGTACACGGAGCCACCGGATTATCCATCGTACCAGAGGTTTCAGAGCCCGAAACCCAGCCGGGAGAACAGTGCCTATCGCCAATCATCCCCGCAACTGATGAGACAAGCGACAATCGGCTCGGGCGAAAGGTACGGCAGCTCGCTCTACGGCTCCAGACACGGGTCCAGCAACACGCCTAGCACTCAACACTCCGGCACGCCGAAGTGCGGCCAGCAATCCACGCCAGATCCCAGGTACAGGGCGGAGGCAGTGATCGAGGTGGATCAGAGGCGACCGTTCAGTATAGAGAGCACAAAGAGCGCGCCGGACGTGATCGCGACACACTGACGCCGGGGTCCTGGGGATTGGGAGCCCTACAAGAGACGCCATCCCCGTCAGATTATCGCCGAACATCATCACGATCATTATTATCATCATCAGCCGCCGTCGAGCCAGAACGACGGTAAAGTGACGGTGGCCACGCAGAGCTCCTTGGACGACGACGCCTCGACCAGCTCGACGTTCGAGGCGAATTCGTCCTCCTGATCCACGTGCACAACCGCCGCCGCGATCGATCGACCGGACCAATTGGACGGCTACTCCGATCCGGACGATCGAACAACGTCTCCGGCGGAGTTCGCGCGTGATGTCGTTCGGAATACCGACGGCACCGTGACACGGAACTCGGTCCCGTTACACGGGTCGTCGGAGCCGACGAAAATAAAAGAGACGAAGACCCGGGACGATATCGGTGAAATCGGCGGAACAAAATTGACGGACGTATCCGGCACGGGGTCCACCGGGACAAATACCGGGAGGACGATGCACGAGGATGTCGCGGTCCTACGGTCGAGTGGACGCGACAGAAAAGAGTCAATGGACGGTGTTCCGGTTTCGAGGCGATCGCGAGCGGGCGGGATCAGCCAGAAGTTGAACGATCTACCGATATTGAAGCCACCGGAAGCGTTCAGGGCGCCGATTTTCCGGTGCAAAGCGCCGACCCTGACCTGGCAGCACTGCGGCTGCCCATCTCATTCCCATTTGCCGCAGAGACGATCGTCGGTCATCTGGAGTGCCTTGAAACGCAACAACCAGGCAGAGCCGTTCTATCGGACCTGGCCAAACCGAACAGCGAGACGTCTCGTACGACCCTCGAGGAGGACCGTGGGCACGCAAAGCTCGTTGGACGGCTCGAGATCGTCCCTGGGTGCTCTTCGTTGCGTGGTCAGATCGATCGATCTGACCGAACGGTCGATGGATCTCGAGATCGGGGCCACTATACCCTTCTAGTGGTTACTTCTCGCGCGTCGAAGTGTGTGTTCTTTTGCGCGTCGGATCGATCGGGACACGGACCAACGTGGTTTTCTATGCGAGACGATGGAGGGTAGGGGAGGGGGGAGAAACAGTATCTGCTCTGTTATTGTTAACATGGGTGTTGTTATCGCTTAGGTCGGATATGTTCCGTGCACGCGTAATATATGTTTGTGAAATACGTTATAATGGATGATTCTTGTTGCCGTTCTGGTTTTTTCATTGAAGTCGCAAAATGTTACTGTTAGATCGATGCGCATTAAATGGATATTTTTAATAGGGAGATCCGAGTTCACGAGACTCGCGTTTGAAATTTAAATATTCAGACGATAGTAACTGCATATGCACACGTATGATACAGGACGTTTCTTTATCTTCACCACATTCGTTCCTTCCACAGAAATCTGAACGGGATACTATGGTCGGTGTAAATGTTCTCGAGATAACACGTGTTATATCCTTCTTGAAATTTCTATTCTACGTTCTAATACGCCCCATAGACTGTACGATTTTTCGTACAACTGATCGAACAACCTGGGTCACTTCGACCGTCTAAACAATAGTTGCAACGTTTGTAGCGCGGTCGTACCACTTGCAGAAAATACGGCAGGCTAAGAATCTGTCGTTCTGAACGTCTATCCAAATCCCTGTGTAATTTGTTGTACGACAAATCGTATCGTCTATTGGAGCCTTAAGATTCATCCGTTTAAAATTCGTTTTAAATTTGGTACAATGTTTAGAACAATTTTAATTTCGGTAAAAGTCACAGTTGAAAGATGCAGCTCCGAAAACTTTGCCCCTGACATATGTTATCAAAGTTACCCTTCTAAATGAGCGTCAGAAAGTCTCACTTATCCCATGTTTATTAAAATGTTATTAAGAGAACAATGATTCTTTTTTCTTGAACTGTCTCTAACCAACTCTGAATAACTTTTTATTCTTGAACCGTGTCGAACCAATTCTGCAGCATTATGCTGATCGGAGTTGATTAGAGTAACCGGTTGGAATAACTGATATATGTTGCAAATGTTTTTCACTAATAACTTTTTAATAATAAACGACAGCTGGAACTTCTTGAGAGTATCTCAGAAGAGTGTCATTAACACATGTCAAGGTCAAGGTCATCAGAGCTGCAGACCCTAAACGCAACTTTTACCTTGATTTCTTATCTCTAGCATGAAAATGATCTACATATACACCACCTGTAAGTGGTTTAACTAAACGTGATGAAGGAGAAAGAAACGCCCTATATAAACCAATGTTTCCTTTGCACAGATTTCTATCGAAATGACCCGATAAATTAGCGAAAATGCTTGAACTATTCCTTTACGTCCGCGATGATGAATAAAAAAAGAAAATTATTGTTAATAGTCGCCGGCACTATTTAATGTGCGACACCCACCGCAAACCTTGAACGCTTCCACTTCATTCTCCTTGATTGTACCGCGTCATTGTAAATCGAGGAACAAAAGGCCGGTCCCGACACAGACCTTGTAAACACGCTCGAGGCACGAACGCTTCGGTCAATGTGTTTGTTTTCGGATCTTTTTCCTGAAAGAACGAACCCCGAACGAAGTGAACATATCGGAGACCGGAAGGAAGCGCGGTCGCAGACAGTCTCGTTCGAGCCTCCGTGGAAGACGAGTCGCCGCGTTTATCTTAAATCGAACAGGGGTTCGTGTATTTGTTATTCACGTGTTCCGCGTGTTTCGAGTGATCGAGCCAAAAGTGCGTGGAACAACGTTGAGTCGATGGACGGACAGTGACATTCAGGTCGAAACTTTAAACATTAAACTAACCCCATTTTTGTACTCGTAGCGTCGATTCACGCGGGTCCGATCGCGTGGCAAGTTACGAAATAAAATACGATACTGCGATATTAGGCAAACTATTTTTCCACGGTATTTCCATAGATAGTCGAGGATTGTAACACGATTCACGCACACCCAGGTCAGGAAAGTCGAAGTGTAATTGCATTTATAACTAATTCGCGCTTCCGCTCGGAGACGTGCCCGATCCGAGAATGGTTGTCGATCATGGGGAGGCAGAGAATCGTCTCGATGACAGAACCAGTTTGCTCGGTGAATTCGCGAACTATTCAGAAGGCTTCTCGAATAATATCCTGATCCCCAGGCTCACGTAACAGCGATAATCGATTCATTGGGACAATGCATAAAAGATCGTTTTTCCGAATTTCGTTGACGATCCATTCAAAGTTTTGCATTGCTTGCGGCGAACAATTGACACGAAAAACAGGGGAGGAAATTTAAGTGCTTGAAATCAAAAGAATAATCAAAGTTAGTCAATTAAATACGTGAAACGATCGATCAAAAAAACAAATGAATTAAACGAAACGGTGGATCAATTTAAGAACAAGGAGGAAATAGGCGAACCACGTGCGTGTTAACTCTAACCGGTGTAAGCAAATACGTTGTAAATGCTGTCATGGAACCTAGCGTTTAGTTACCGACAATTCTCGCTTCTGTACAGGTTCGTGTTAACGTTTATCGTATAGGACAGAATGTACAGAGTGTACACAATTTGTATATAACTGACGCGTGATCGTCTGTTAAGGTGACACGTCAGACGAGTAATAAATATAGTACTTTTAAAATATCCCGAGACGTTTCATCGGATCCGATCCCCACGTAACCGTAGACTTAATCCTCATAAATTATTAATACGACGACCACCATGGAGAATCGGAAACTTGAACCTTCTTCCACTTAAATCGCTCGTCATAAAAGATTCTTTACGGACTTTACCCGCACTGGACATTTTAATTAAGGTAAGTCCTCAGAATACCGTTAATCGTCAATCAGATATTCAGCAAACTAAAGATCCTTATGATTTTTCGTCGTAAAATTTCTGAAATTTCAAATTCAATCTTAAAGTAATCTTGATCCTAAATTACATTGATAGTTCCAATCGGCTATGCTATTTCAAAAGTTCAAAGACTCTGTAGTCTCAAGAATAATCTTCATTTATAAATATCTAACTTGAACAATTATTAAGACAATATAAATGTTCCACTTGTCTTGAAATCGTTTCATCTTGACTCAACTGCTCTGACTGCCAACTACAGTTCAGTTTCTTTTTCCTGTTTCTCCACTGAACACTAATTTATTCAGAACGGTGCACATTGTACCGGTGCATTTTCCGTTTCCTTCCGTTTACGGAGATCCGTGCCAGTATTTTCCTCAGAGACACAGCACCTCGGTTAAACCATTCTCTCGGGAGTCTACCGTTTAATAGAGTCTTCCCCTACTCTCCCCCCTTTTGACATTATGATTCTTCGCGTTGCCCGAAGCGGTCTGGTTCGTAACAGCGCTCCCGTAGCTCTTAATTAATTTTACATGATTCACAGTTCGCCTCGAAAAATTTACTTCCCGTAATAATTAGCGATGCAGCGACGTGCACGACGTTCAGAGAGCAACGGGCTCGTATTTCGCGGAACGTCGTCGAGTTACACTCGTTAAAGACGGTACTTGAACGTTCCTGTTCCTTATAATCGCTTTGTAGTAACAAATACAACAGAACCGAGGGTCAAAGTGTTTCGGAAGTTACCCATGTTGCCTTACGTTTAATAATTCAACGCTCGAAATTAATTAATGAGTATTCTTCAGATACCTTAGGATCAATTTTTTGAAGTAACACAAACGAAGGACAGTAACGTCTCGATGAGTGCGACAAATTCGGGTCCGCTTCGGAGCATTCTCCGTTTTCAGCCCCTCATAAATGTATTTTTTGCACGATGCTATGCCTCTGCTTAGTTTCTGTTTACTCTATTTTGAATGGTTCCAGAAGGGGAGCCCCCAGTGGTGGAAATAACACCGCTGTTCGTGTCGTATTCATCGAGGAAACACTGTAAATATTTTTAAAAGCAGTCGACCCTCCTGAAAAAGTAGCAACGATATAATTTCCTGAAGTTAATTAGAAATTCTAACTTCCAATTTACTCTCCGATATAAAGTACCGTTTCTTTCGTTAGTTGTTCTCTTAATGTCTCAGCAATAAGCTACGAAAAGAAGCATATTT